TAAAATTTTTTATTTTGATATTATTAATAAGGTGGTTAAATAAGAATAATCTTTTTATATCATTTTTTTATATAACTTTCGTATATCACTAAATGAGTAGATGTATTTAAAATTATAAGTTATAAATGAATAAAAAAAATTATTTAAATAATCCATAAAATTATATAAAAAATAATATAAAAAGATTATTTTTAAATTATTTTCTTTATTAATATTTAGATGAGTGATATGTTACTTAATTTTATATAAAAATAAATTCTTTATTTATATATTAACACGACAAAATCACCAAAACAAATAGATAAACTTGCAGCTATATAAATATAATATATAAAATTTATATAAAAATAAATTCTTTATATATATATTAACACGACAAAATCACCAAAACAAATAGATAAACTTGCAGCAAAATAAAGATATAAATAAAATAAAATGAAATGAACTTGCAGCAAAATGATGGAGTGAACATACTCGGCTTTAACTTCTCCCTAATGTCCGGTAATTGCGAAATTTCTCGCCACCCTAGATTTGCTCTTTCTCTGTCCGGTTCACTATCTCCCTTGAGAGGACTTATCGTGGAAGCAATAAACGGAAATTTTCAAGTGGCATAATTAATATATTTTTTAATTATTAATTAATATAAGAATTTAAAAAATTGATATTAAATTTAATATTAATAATACATGCATTAATTTAAGGGATGAATATATATATATATATATATATACTAGTTTTATATATTGTATTTATATAATATTTTGATTATTTATTTCTTTATTTTTAATTTTGAAATTTATTATGATTTTTTAAATAAACAATAATTATATTTAAAAAATATAAATAAATCTTAATATTTACAAATAATTAAAAATAAAAAATTATAATTAAAATTTTATATAAATATAATAAATAATATTTATATATAAGTGAAATTTTACGTATGAATTTAATTAATTATTTAATAAAATTAAAGATAATGATATAAAAATAATTTTTTATATAATTTTTACATATCAAAAATATATATTTAATATTATAAATTTTAAATAAATAAAAAAATTAATTATTTAGATGGCATATAAAATTATAAAAAAATGTAAAAAAATTTTCTCTAAACCATTTTCTTAAAATTAAAGTTAAAATTTATTTTTTTATGTAATTTAATGTAAAAAAAAAAAAATGAAAAGTGTATTTATTTGCTTGGTGCAATTGTGAGAAAGACTCAGCAATAAATACCGGACCAGACAGGAAGCAACACGAAACTTCATCACCTCCTTTCTCTTCCTTTCTATCGCATTCTTTGTATCTGTAAATTACAATTTGGGTGTTGAAAATGGCGGGTAACGATTGGATAAACAGCTATTTGGAGGCGATACTCGATGTGGGTCCTGGACTAGATGATGCAAAATCGTCGTTGCTGCTGCGTGAAAGAGGGAGGTTCAGCCCCACTCGCTACTTCGTGGAGGAGGTTATCACCGGCTTTGATGAAACCGATCTCCACCGCTCCTGGGTTCGGGTACTGCACTTGTCACTATATCTTCCTAACATTTGTGCTTCTGCTTCCCTATAATATGATCGGTGTTTATATCTGAATATCTCTGTGTATATGTAAGGCTCAAGCCACGAGGAGTCCCCAGGAGAGGAACACCAGATTGGAGAACATGTGCTGGAGGATTTGGAATTTGGCTCGTCAAAAGAAGCAGGTTTGGTTCTTACGGTTTTTAACTGCTCTTTTCTTCTTCTTCTTCTTCTTCTTCTTCTTCTTTTATGTGGTTTTAGATGTGAATTAATGTTGAAATATTGTCAAAGAATCAGTAGCAATTGTAGAATTGGAGGTCAATGGTGCTAGAGGGGTTTATGTCTAGCTGTGTCTTATAATTAGAGATCAAAAGTGCTTAAAGACTGTTTTTGATGTATGGTCAAATTCTGACCATGGTGATTTTTGTTGGAGTTGATTGATTATGTTAATTGGGTTTATTTTGGATTCACAAATGCTGACCAATTACCATTGTTTATGCTCTTCCTTTTCAGAGACCATGGTATTTTTCTCTTTTGAATTGTATTCTGGTAACTTTGCTTTCAAAAAAAATTCTTTGTTTCCTTGTTTCTGAATGTAATAGTTAGATTTTAATTTGCTGAGAAGTCCCCTTTTTGTCTTAATCTTATAGTGTTTACAGGTAGTATTCTGCCACTGATTGTGCTTCACATCCATAGGTAAAACTAAGAATCCCTTGCCAGATTTCAGCAGATTATATTGTACAGATAACAGTACATGGCAGTTTGGAAGTTGAAAAAGCTGAGCAGCAAAAAAAGAAACAGTTTGGCTTGAAATTCTTTTTGGTTGTGTAGGAGAAAGTATGTTTTGTTTGCATACTAAATGGTACGGTGTTATAGGGGTACTTGCTCCACTTCTGAAGAGTAAAAAGAAATGTTAAGCAATGTTATGAATTCTATATGAATTATTTAATTTATGTTCCTGATTCAACTTCTAGACCCATATATGTATATATAAAATTGATTTTGTTTTTTCCATTCCAGATTGAGGGAGAGTTAGCCCAGAGGAAGGCTAAACGTCGACTTGAACGTGAAAGAGGCCGCAAAGAAGCAACTGCTGATATGTCTGAAGACTTATCAGAAGGAGAGAAAGGAGACATTGTTAGTGATGTATCGGCTCACGGTGATAGCAATAGAGGCAGGCTGCCTAGAATAAATTCTGTGGATGCAATGGAGACATGGGCTAGTCAGCAGAAGGGGAAAAAGTTATACATTGTATTGATAAGGCATGAACTAAACTTCAGTCTTATGTTTTTTGAATCTTGTTGAGGACTGCATGTTGATTGGTTGCTCTTTCAATATTTAAAACAATTATCAGCGAATTATTTGTAGGCGTCTGCTTCCAGTATGTTATTTTATCTCCATTACTGTCGTCTGAATATCACTCAGGTATCTTCTGAATAAAAGTTTTATATTAGAACAAAACAAATCTTTAAGGTTATAGATTTATATCTACTGTTGATGTTAGGATTAACAAAATATGATCTCTTTGGTGTGCATGACAGTCTTTAATTATTTTTAACAACTAGTGTCCATGCAGCCTTCATGGTCTGATCCGGGGTGAAAATATGGAGCTTGGTCGTGATTCTGATACTGGTGGTCAGGTAGCTTGGTTAGCAAAAAAAAAAATTTTGAATTCCCTGCTTCTGTCCTAATAAACTGGTACAGTTAGGTGTGCAAGTTTTCTGACAAGTCTTGTGTTCGTTTCATTGTAGGTTAAATATGTTGTGGAACTTGCAAGGGCTTTAGGCTCAATGCCAGGTGTTTATCGAGTTGATTTGCTGACTAGGCAAGTGTCATCGCCTGATGTAGATTGGAGTTATGGTGAACCGACAGAGATGCTAACTCCAAGAAATTCAGAAGATTTGACAGATGAGATGGGGGAGAGCAGTGGTTCTTATATTATCCGAATACCATTTGGTCCAAGAGATAAATATATTCTGAAGGAACTTTTGTGGCCTCACATTCCTGAATTTGTTGATGGTGCACTTAACCACATAATACAGATGTCTAATGTTCTTGGTGAGCAAGTTGGTAGTGGGAAGCCAGTATGGCCTGTTGCCATCCATGGGCACTATGCAGATGCAGGTGACTCTGCTGCTCTTCTTTCTGGAGCTTTAAATGTACCAATGCTGTTTACTGGTCATTCTCTTGGCCGAGATAAGTTGGAACAACTCTTAAAACAAGGTCGGCTGTCAAGGGAGGAAATAAATTTGACATACAAAATACTGCGTCGGATAGAGGCTGAGGAATTATCTCTTGATGCCTCTGATATAGTCATAACGAGCACTAGACAGGAAATAGGTCAGCAGTGGCGTTTATATGATGGTTTTGATCCAATATTGGAGCGTAAATTAAGAGCAAGGATCAAGCGGAATGTCAGCTGCTATGGCAGGTTTATGCCTCGCATGGTTGTAAGTTCAGAACTTTATAATTGCATGCTTGCTTTTCTTGGTCTTAAACATTACAGTCAAATCAAATTATGGCCGCTTATTTTTGGGGTTTGGTTCCCAGTCAAGATAAAATGCTTTGCATGTTTTCTATATGAGCTTGGCTTGGCCAGGCGTGGTTTAACTGCTTTTTACTTTAATAAGATATGCTATGGTAGGTTTTTGAGTGATGGTCCTGAAAAACTTAAATAAACTTTCCTGTGAATGTTGCTTTTAATAGTTTTTCTGTTAATATCATATGGAGATTTGATTTTGTAGCTGGTTTGGGAAAATAAGCCCATTTAACTCACAAATACGTTACAACTGGTACTTATGGTTCCTTTTCTATATGTTTTTCCGCTAGTTTGATGGGCTATAGAGCTTGTCTATTTGGATTTGATGTGACTAGCAAGCATCTTACAAAAAATTATTAAGATAAAATGAAGAGTCCCTGTAATAACAAGGAACAGTGTAAACTAATTTTGGACGCCAGAAAAGTGTGGTTGTTTGATTAAGTTAAAGTTGGATGTTTGATATTATAACTCAGATACAAAGTGGCGACTGAAATTTTACACTTTTTTGGTTTTTATTTCCTATCATGCTTTATATAGCTAGTTCATAGGTTATGATCTATTAGTCTATATTTATCTACAGATAATTCCTCCTGGAATGGAGTTCCATCATATTGTTCCACAAGATGGTGATATGGATGGTGAGACTGAAGGGAATGAAGACCATCCTGCCACTCCAGATCCACCTATCTGGTCTGAGGTTGTAATCGTTCCTTACATATTTACTCAAGAGTTCTGCATTGCATAATGTGCAAAAAATATATTTTAGGGCATCCTAATCTGTCATAAGATTTATGTTAGTTTTTATATTGCTATTGCAGATAATGCGCTTCTTTACCAATCCTCGCAAGCCAATGATACTTGCACTTGCTAGGCCAGATCCCAAAAAGAACATAACAACTTTGGTCAAAGCCTTCGGAGAATGTCGGCCGCTAAGAGAACTTGCAAATCTGGTGTGCTTGAGTCCTCCAATGACTAGAGTTTGATGAAGACATCTTGACTTGTACTCTAAGCTGAATGGCTTTTCTACTGTGTTTGCTTTCTAATGTTCTTTTTTTTCCCTGGTGCCTTACAGACACTAATTATGGGGAACAGAGATGGGATTGATGAGATGTCAAGCACAAATGCATCTGTTCTTCTTTCAGTGCTTAAGCTTATTGACAAATATGATCTATATGGAGTAGTGGCTTACCCTAAACACCACAAACAGATTGAAGTTCCAGATATATACCGTCTAGCAGCAAAAACAAAGGTAGCCTAGCCCAGGACAAACGTTGTTACTGAATTTTAAATAATAAATTTGAGATTATTAGAGATAATCCACTTCCATTGTTTTGCAGTGAAATGTGAATATTGATCTTATTTCATCTTCTTAGTTTCTTTCTGTTTTGCCATCTTTTGCAAAGTGTCCTATCTTAACTATTTATACTATAGTTTTCTTTGCCATACAGCAGGAAAGCCCTACACTTTTACAAATCCCTTGCTGCCCAACCTAAGGTTCTAATTTCTTAATATTGTGCATGAATCCTTTAATTTTTCCTCTTCTATATATTTTAAATCAAAATTTAATTTCTGGTAGGTATATGTAAGAGGAATGCAAGCAACACTATTTGATTCTTTTCAATACTTTGATTCATATGGCATAGTGCTTTTATGTGAATAGTGATAGATTTGAATTTTAAATATGTTAACTTTTCTTTCCACCACCCATCACCAATCACATGATAGCTACATGCTACATGGCCCAATCGTATGAAGAGTGTGAAAGAGAGTCAGTAGCATTCCTTGACGAGTGAAATTGCTGGTTATCAGTGTTTAATTAGTGCTTACGTGGTATCACTTTTTTTTTTATGTGTCTTTTGAAGAGAAATACAACTCCAT